GAGGTAGGTAGTTTCATAAGCCTCAGGCCTCGAGGTGTTATGCGTTCTTCTATATATTTTTTGAATGTAGCAATTTCCCATTTTAATTTAATTTCTGTTGTTAAAGCTTTTTCTGTTTATCAAATTAGAAAAAGCTTTAACAACAGAAATTAAATTAAAATGGGAAATTGCTACATTCAAAAAATATATAGAAGAACGCATAACACCTCGAGGCCTGAGGCTTATGAAACTACCTACCTCAGACCAAGATGATATTGAATTTATGAACGAGTGGAACAATAAGTTAGAAACTTGTACATTCGGCCTCATGGATACGTTAATGAAGAAAAAAAGCAAAAAATTATCTAGTCTTGATAGAGAAATTAATGACCTCAGAGAAAAACTTATGCCCTTCACAGAAAGTAATGTGTATCAACAAAATTCAGTTTTAATTCAAAGTAAAATCGAAAAAATAGAAACAGACACCAAGCACATTAAAGTTAAAAAGTATGTCAGAGATAAGCAAGATTATGCTAATCGACAGGTTAGAACATATCATCTGAACAAAAGATATATGGCTGACAATTCACATGCCAATACAAGGACAGAGTCTCACCAATACCAAAGAGCTACTATACACAATGCACGGCACGAATCCTCATATACAACTAAAAATCACTCCTCTATTCCTCACAAATCTTTTCACCATTCTCCCTATAGACCCAAACCTCACTACAAAAACCCTAATTCTCACTATGCTCCTTTACCCTATCACCGTCCATCTTCATACATACCACGGAAGATTCCATACAAAACATCCAATTACCAGGACTCCTCTAATCGTTATTACAATTCTCACAGTCCTGACACTCGATCACATTCACCCAAAACACAGCGTTCCAATACTTTCTACAAAAACCACTCTGATACCCCTATTACACATACTAACAGATATCAATTATTGTCTATTGATTCTGAAATAGAGAATGATGACCATTTTTTAGAGATTCAGACACACCCCAGCACTTTTATCAATACACCATATCCCACAAGAGCAAAAAAAAGAACTCTAAGCCCAGAGGAAAACGGAGTGGCAGAAGAGAACAAAAAAGAGAGACTAGAAAGATAAAAAATACCCTTAAAGAATCAGATGTTGGCATTTTTAACCTATCTAATAAAGTTTTAAGTGCAGCACAGATTTCTGTTTTAAGTAAAGGATTAAAATATGCACCTACTAATTCTTTTAAACCATTTGAAGCCTTTTTAGATGTAAATAAGTTCGTACGTAAGGCCACACTAAAAAGATTTTTTTCAGTACAAACCTCAGAAACTAACCCTTCTCTTCCTTATCCCTCTACACCTACTGATCAACCTTCTTTTATCAATACTAATCTTAAACCAAAATCTACATTTTACCCTTACCATTTTAAATCAGCCCCATTGGTGATGTTTGAGAAATCTGTTCTGAAAGATCTCAACAAAATCAAATTTAATAAATACGATCTTCAAAATTTAAACATCGCAGAAAAAACAGCTATTAAACAACTCCAAGAGGATAAAGATATAGTGATCAAACCGGCCGATAAGGGTGGAGGTCTCGTTATACAGTCTACTGATATGTACATCAAAGAAGCTTACAATCAATTAAATGATATTGATGTATACAAGAAATTAAACAAAGATCCTACCTCCAATATACAGCAGAAACTAATCACTTTTTTACAAAAAGGTTTAAATGATAATATTTTGAACAAAAAAGAATTCGATTATTTATTTATTAAGAATCCTAAAATTCCGGTTATTTATTTTCTACCCAAAATTCATAAAGACGCTAAACATCCCCCAGGGAGACCGATAGTATCTGGGATAAACTCCCCTTTGTGCAACTTATCTCAGTATATTGACATCCTACTTCAACCGTCAGTTAAACGAATGAGGTCCTATTTAAAGGACTCTATGTCATTACTGAGATTTTTAAATGGATTTGAATGGAAGTCAGACTTTATACTTGTTTCCTGTGATGTCACATCCCTGTATACTATTATCCCACACCAACTTGGATTCAATGCAGTCAGAACCATTCTATCCAATGAAAATAACATTCCTACTGCCCAGATTGATTTTATTGTAGATGGTATTAGTATTATTTTAAACAATAACTATTTCTGGTTTTATGACTCTTTTTATCTCCAGAAGAGAGGGACTGCTATGGGGACTAGGTTTGCTCCCAGCTATGCCAACCTCTTTATGGCGGATTGGGAGACATCCGCCATTTGGGGACGGCATGCCTGGGAGCATAATCTAGTCTCCTATTTTAGATACATTGACGATTTGTTTTTTATATGGAAGGGCCCAGAAGAATGTCTAAATTCCTTTATATCATACCTTAACTCTAATAATAGAGGCATTACCCTCACTTGTGAATATAGTACTAATTCAATAAATTTTTTAGACTTAAATATTTTTATTCAAGATGGCAAAATACATACGAAAACATTTTTTAAGAAAGTATGTACCAACACTGCAATTGATCAAACTAGTTGCCACTATAAACCATGGCTTGAAAGTGCTCCAAAAAGCCAATTTTTAAGAATACGTCGCAATTGCTCTCAAACAAATGATTTTAATGAACAATCACTGCTTTTAAAACAACAATTTATCGAAAAGAATTATTCCTGTACTCTTCTTGATAGTACCATCGACACGGTCAGAAATAAACCTAGAGAAAGCCTTTTAACATACAAGAATAAGAATACTTTAGAAACTCCCACTCTTCCTATAATTTTTAATTATAATAATAAAAGTGGTTTTATTAAAAAAACAATTAAAAAACATTGGCATCTCTTAAGACAAGACGATTTGCTTAAAGAAATTTTACCTGTACAGCCAAAAATTGTTTTTAGAGGGGCACCGAATTTTAGATCCATTTTAACTAACAATTATACCAAAGCAACTAAAAATACTCATCATACGTTTTTAGATGGTGCAAAAGGCTTTTACAAGTGTAAACGTTGCACCGTATGTAAAAATACTGATCCAACAACTAAATCAAAAACTACTAATTTTAAGTCCAACCAAACAAATAAAAGTTACACTATAAGAGACTTTATCGGTTGTAATACTACCAATGTTATCTACCTATTGGAGTGCCCTTGCGGCCTCCAATATGTGGGTATGACCACTAGGTGTCTTAAGATAAGACTAGCTGAACATTGTAGGAACATTAGAAATGGGTACCTAAACCACTCTGTATCTAAGCACTTTATTAACCACAACCAAGATCCTAAATTTCTCAAATGCTTAGGAATTCAGAAATGTCAAGTGCCTTGGAGAGGTGGTAACATAAAAAATATTCTTGGTAGAGCAGAGATGGAATGGGTATATAACTTACAAACCCTTACACCCCTAGGTCTGAATGTGGATTTTGATTTGTTTAACTTTTTATAATATATATATATTTTGTTTTGTTTTTTAAAAACTTTTTAGCTTTTTTAACTCTGTACCTTTAAATAATTTTATTGTTATTATTGATTATCATGCATTTATTATTCTATGCTCTTTTCTTTTATTTATTTTATATTTATTATTATTTTTCTTAAAATTGTATTAACTAGGTAATTTATCCTGTACCAACTAGATATACCACTAAATATTGATCCCACATTTATTTTATTTATTTATTCTAATGTTCTAACCATATACATCTTTAATAATAGCATGTATGCTATCTATCCCCCTTTTTCAATGGTGTTTCCGGTTTATAACTACATTTCCCAGCATTACTATCGGCTCTAGTCACGTGGCCCGCTGTAATATGACGCCGCGGGTCACGTGACAGAGCCTGAACCCGCCCTGCTGTCTCTGTGTCCGTGCGTGCCGTTCCTCCTAGCTCTGGCCGCACGGACTGAATACAGATTAGCGGTCACGTGACCCGGCACTACAGATCCCACAGTGCAGTGCGGGTCACGTGACACGCACGTACGCGGAAGCACTTATTCTACACCTTTTTTTATATTAAATAACGCTCGTTCTTATTAAAAAATGCTCGTTTTTATATTATTTTTATATATACAACATCTTATGTCCATATATATCAATACTGTATATTATTTTTTATTTTTTGAATGTATATTTTCTATTTATATTTTGTATTACCCTGATTGGTTGTTCATTTTTTGGCGCCAATTTCAAATGTTTGTATTAGCTATAAATACTCCTCATGTGCCAGGTACTCCAACTATTCCAATTTGATAAAGCCTTTTGGCGAAACGCGTTATTGGTTTTAAATATTGTATCAATAAATAATTTTATATTATCTATTATCTATTCTTATTACTATTTCCAACTTTACATATTGTTCCTGGCATATCCTGAGGTGGGGATCATACCACCCACGCGAATAATTGAGTGCAGATTGACCTGCACTCTATTTGTGAGTATATTTTATTTATTTTTATTCTTTTTAACAACTACCTCACCAGAGAGCACTATTGGCTGTTTTTATTTTCTTTCCTTGAGAATTGAACACCAGGACTCTTCAAGAGGACAAGCACCCCCATAAGCGGAGGGTTATCCGCCGTGTGCCTATCATACCAGAGCTGGTTCTAGCTCATGGAAACGTGAGTGTGTAATTTATATTTTATTTTACAATTACTAATTTATGCACTCTGCACAATTGGCTTTTTCTCATTGTGTCTTCCATATCGTGAGACGGACGACCATTGTTAAAGAAGACGCCATACCAGTTAAGACACCATCCATTACTGGGACTTTCTTATTAGAACATTTTTCTAATTTGGACTTGTTTCTTTTACTCTCTTGGCGCAG